GGCACATTTCTGTCACATTTGCAGACTAACACATTTCTCACATATGTTTGCCATCTCCTCACATACATCCCCTGATTAATACTCTTAACAATTTGAATGTTCTTCCACCGGCAGCAGAGAACATTTCACTTCTGCAGCATCTGAGGAAAAGTTTCATGGAGCTGCAGTCACAGAGGAGCCTCCATAACATCAGCTTCAACTCAGTAATGATGTTAGAGGGGCTACCCAGAGTTGTCTGATGCAGCAGGCAACAAGACTAGGTGTGAAGCAGGGACCAGTAGAGTCTACTAACTCTGACACAAGCTGTATCAAATATAAAATAAGTCCAGATTACTGACAGAATCTGAGGTGAACCTCTGCTCTGCCGTGAAGGCCGACAGCAGCAGGATGACACGTAGCACAGCTCTGCCCTGTGGGGAGGACGCACAGGCAATTAGCACAACTTATAGAGTGTGCAGGTCATCGGGCAGCTTCAGTCCAACACCCGCTGGGCCTAGACTGTCTGCTGGTCCCTCTTTAACTAACCAGCATCCGATTTTGTCATCAAGCTCCAGTCCACGCCTAAATATAAACACATACAAGCCTAAACAAAATGCAGAGAGATCCTTCACAAGTTGAGCTGCAAAACACCATGAAGGGTTTTTGTTTGCCGTTCCTGGTGGAGTATTTGTATATGAGCAAGCCCTTTCTCCTTTAGCTGAGTGTTGAGGTGCCACAGCAGAGAGAGAGAAGTACGAGGACTGCTGAATAATGCAGAGACACAGAGCTGCTGATGGTGCTGACCGGGTGAAGGCTGCAGTTTGGCAGCAGCACCTGCTTCTCCCAGTACGGACACCAGACAAACACTGCTGCAGAAAGAAGCTCTGTGGCTGTACTGGACAGGTAGAGGAAAACTACCAGACTTTGCCAGACACAAAGAATAACTGCAGGGTTTGATTCAGAGTCTGCCACTGCAATAGTGACCGACTTAGAACTTAAAATGGTCTGGTACTGCAAAAATCCCTTGAAAAGACCAAAACAACAATGTAGAGGCACAATGTAACCCACATCATTTTCCAGTTACGGATATATCTATTGGATGATCCCACATTGCAAATTTAGATCTAATGTCAACATTAGATGGTGTGCAGTCTTCACAGTACTGTTTATGCATCCTCAGATGGAGCAGCAAAACCAAGGAAACATACAAATGGGCTCAGTGAACCCCGTCAGACAATCCTGGATCAAACCCTGCACTTCTTGCATTAATAAGCCCGTCAGAGGTTTGGGGGTGAGGCTTTGCTTTTCAATTGGATTTTTCTGTGGTATTTTCTTCTTCTTCTTCTTCTGGGTAGAAATATACAAAGTTTGCAGTGGAAATTATTAATGAGTGTTTTGGAATTATTCTGGGTTCAAATTCAAGTGCATCTTCCTGCTTGAGTACCACCGCATTCATTGTGTTTGGAGACCACCTCTAAATCGGACTACAGCACGGATTGTGTTTGCCCTTTATGAATGAAGAGGTGAATTCCTAAGTCATAATGAGGTCCCATGGTGGTTCTAGTCTAGTGTGTACTGCACCAGGTCGAAGCCCCGCGGCTCCTGCAGTAGCTGAGCCCGACTCAAAGTTATGCTGACAGGTATTTCTCTCACTAACAAAATGATATGACCCATGCTTTCTAACAGTTCCCCGCATCACATTCATATATTTCCCCGGTGATCAGTCCAACAGTAGCTGTTGTTCTGTTGAAGAATTTCTTTTACATGCTACCAGGTGGACCTAGGGATTTGAACCATCAACCTTCTGTTAAAGAGGAAAAACATACCCTACAAATTCCAAAGAAAGCAAAACTATTAATGAATTGATCCTGAAATTGGACTGTATTAGTAAAGCCTGTACCTCTTGTTCACACATTCTCACATACAGTGACACACCAATGGCTGCGAGATACCATGCAAGTAGTGTCTAAACCCCAGGAAGCAACTGGGGTCCAGTGCCTTGCTTCAGCCTGGAATCAAACCGCCAGCTGGATGACCTGCTGTACCTCCTAAGCTACAAGCAGGGGTTCATTTGTGCCAGAACAAGTCAGATCCGCATTCGGTACCTCTCAAATTGTGACCTGCACTTATTCTGATGGACCCAGCACCTCATCTACATATGAAAGAAATTAAATATATGAATAATATGTAAAAAGTCCAAGGCCTAATGCTTTTGGTGCAACTAGTCTTTTACAACAGAATATTAAACTAAAATTAGAACAACTAACTACAATAGAAACAGGCAGTTAGGCAGGCTAATTATGTCACTGACTGAACAAATTAGAGGCCGTAGGGAGACCTACAGGTTGAGAACCACTGTTCAATGGTACGAAAGATATTGGTTTTCAAGCTTTGAATCGGTGATGTGCCAAAAATCTGAACAGCAGAATCAAGCATGAAACAGAACTGTCCCAGTAGGAAACCCAAGAATAAGAAAATTAAGGTAAATTATTGTATCCAAGGCCATCAGAACATAAAAAAACTACATAATAAATTCATATAAACTGTATTTTTCTTTCATAGCGAGTCCACTGAACCTGGTTTTTCAGAAACAACACTTGCTGCAGTCAGGGCAAGGCTGGTCCCATGTCTGGGTTTTCCTGGGCACCCCCCCAAAATCCTTCCATCCACCCCTGTCCTCCCTCATTATGGGACCCACACCAACAACATCTACTAGCACCCAGTCTGCCCAGCACTGCAGTGAGTGTGTGAATTTATGTATGCATGTACGTCTTGTATCTGTTGGACGCCATCTCTAAATCTGCCTGCATTGATCCAAGCCAAGAAAAAAGGCAAGCTGAAGTCCTCTGGGGGGCTGATGGACAGATATAAAGATGACAGCCAAATGGAAAGTGTGAATCATTCCCAGGCAGTCGATAAAGCAGCTGAGAGTCTCTGTTTAAGTGCCCGTGGCTCTACACACTCTTACCTGCCTCACAGTAACTTTCACACTTGTCATTAAGTCTAATACACAGTCAGCAGTGTCAAAAAGCGCCATGGGCAGCTGCACTTTGGAGCCGAAAGCTAAGTGGAGGTTGGTCAGGGGAAAGGTTACACTTGTGGCGTTTACAAAAAACAATCAATAAACATTCATTTAGTGGCACTGAAGTAGTTACTTTAGGTTGTGAACTACTGGATTTTAATTCTGGCTAACCTGTTTTCAGTGCCCTTACTGTCGTCTTTCCTCTGATTCACTTTTGCTTGTTGACACTTTAGTTGGCTGGCGTTGTCCCTTGCATTACTCCTCATTTCAGCACCAATTTGTACAAATCCAGCTTTAAGAGATTGTAAGACTGAATTCACTAATTAAACAGCATTTCATGACCTTGCGATCTGGGTTTATAATGACTGTCAGTGTCGATACAGTATTTAAACATGGCGGTGATCTTTCCCTGAATTTAAAGGAATAGTTTGACATTTTGGAAAATATGCTTATTCACTTTCTTGCCAGCTGTTAAATGACAAAAAAATCCATACTACTATCTTGTCTGAGTGAAAGCACAGAGTTAGATCTGCCAGATGATGAGCTTAGCTTTGCATGAAGACTGACAGCAGGAGGAAACACATTTGTCATTGCTATCTAATTTATGCCATCTCACAGCACTGATTACTAAATCCTCCCAATTCCTATTACAACAACAGTAAATCAGGCCAGAATATTGGCGACACCTGTGGATGGCCTCCATTTTAATGATTACAGAGTAGCCTGTGCATCTGTCCCAGAGGATAAGTTGTTTTTTTAGCTGTAACATTAACCTACAAGGATCACTGGCTTCTAGTGAAACCCAGAGGTAAATGGGACCTTGTTCACTACTGCCTGCATACATGAATATTAACATCTGCCTGTGTCTATCATTCACCAGCAATACTTCAGGACAAAAGCTACTTGTATCCAAACTAAGGGCTCCCTAACAGAACCCAAGTTGCAGCTCTTGCTTATGTTCCTTTTCGTAACTGGTCCTCCAGGAGCACACGACGAGGGTTAGATGATAAATTAAAGGTGTTATCAAAGCCAGCTGGCAGGAGACAAACAGCATTTTCTACCTTAAAGCATTTAACTGTGAATCCTTCTAGGCCTTTAAAAAAGGGTTTCCCAACCTGAGGGCCCTGACCCCACGAGGGGTCGCCAAAGCTTTACAAGGAGCACTTTTTAATACTTTTTAAAACCCCGCGGACACCCTGTTCATTCATTCAGCATTTGGTTCATTTCTGTGACAAAGAACAAATTTAGGGGTTAGTTTATAACATTGATTTTCTTATTTAAAATAAATAAGGAGATGAAATCCAGATTTTCAGATGTTAATGAATATGTCACAGACGTTTCTCACAAAAGAAGAGGACGTGGAAAACCTCCAAGCTGTCACTGAATGACAGGCTGCATGGGCACCTTTAAGAACGTATGATAGCCAAATAAGAAATCGACATAATACAGATTACAGTTTGCATCCACTGAAGTGTTTAAAATTGACTTTACATTGTGTCCTGCTCACTATTCTCCGGTGTTTTTAAACAGCTGAACAGCATCTTAAACCCCCCTCCCCACTCAGACCATGGCAGACCAACTCTCTTCAGCACTAGTTTGTTTCAAGCATTGTGAAACATTTATGAGCAAAGCAAAGTCTTGCCCAGTTCTACAGTCTGTTAAATGTTTTCAGCCTGGCCCCAGTGTGGAAAAGGCTCCGATCCAACAGTGAATGCCAACCATCCACTGAAAACTACATATGAAACTTGTGAAGTTGTGTCAGGAGGATTAACAGCTCCTGACAGCACATTATAGCAGCTTTCATCAGAATGGCACTCACAGCAAAGCAGCTGACCAGTTAAACTAAAAACCTGTTTTCCCCATATACCGTACTGGTCTAAGCCCACCACAGACATTCCCAAGGCTAAAAAAAAAAAATCTTTGGACTGTTTTAGTCCCAACATTTTGTTTTATCACTACATCTTCATGTAATGAGCATTTGTTCTGTGCATGCACACACCTCCAAACCTGGCCCCTGCCCTGCGTCTGGATGGTGACACCAGCTCCTTGACGATCTGCAGGACCTGCATCCTCACAGGTAGGCAGTGATGGAGGCAGATGAAGGTGCCACAGGGCATGAGCAGCCCATTCTTGTCCTCTCGCCCTCCACAACCTCATCCCTCCTGGGCTCCTCCTCAGGACTCATCCCCTAGTCCACATCACAGCTCCCAGCTCCTGGACATCTTGGTTTCAGCATCCTGAGACTTGGCACTCGGTCCTGGGTGGTGGTGTGTGAGAGCTGGCTGCCTCTCCAGAAGTTCAAAAAGAGCCTCTTCTTTAAATCTTCTTCTCCCCTGTTACCTCTTCAATGTTTTTCTCAGCACATTTCAGATTTCAACACATGCTTATAAACTCTCCAGCACTCAAATGTCCTCAGATAATCTTTGCTGATGTTTCTCTATAAAACAACGGGACTCCGAGCACAGATGTCCAGCAGCAGCAGCCAACACACACACACAGTCTGATAGATGCTTCATCTGCTGCATCTGCTCCACCTGAAACAGCCAGTAAATCTCAACTCCTGGGAGATGTTGAAAGTAGCGGGTGATATTTGCTGGCAGTGCCGACTCTGAAAACTGAATGTGTTCGTCTCACGTGTGATATGCGTGTGGCAACACTCAGCTGGAGAGCACTCGCACACTTCATCTGACGGAACAGAGAAGTCCGCTCTTTCTTCTCCTTCTATTTTTCTGTCTGTTTCTTCTTCTGCGGCTCCAGCAGACAGGACAAACCACCTGATTTTTGTGGCTCCGCAGTGATGATGCCTCTCAGTTGTCCGGCTCGCTCAGCTCCTTGTCTGACTCTCTTTTCCACTCTCACCCATTTCCTCTCCTTCAGTCCTGCCAATGCTGGCTCCTTTGGTCGCTGTCCTCTCCTCACATTCATTAAAATCATGCTTCCACTCACTCACCCACAACATCTCCTTCCCTCCCTTCCTCTCTCCCTGCTCTGCTTTCCTGCACTCCTCCCTCTCTCCCCTTTTCACCACTATCTGCCTCGGTCACCCACCCCCTTCTCCTCATGTGAAGCTGACATAAGAGGTGTGTGTATATGTTTATGTGATGATTTGTACCCAGCAGCATCAGTGTTGTTGTCATCCTGAAGTTACGCCCTCTCACATTTTCAAACTGACACCGTCTTCACTCCTTCAGCATGCTGCTCGGCAAATTGCTTTTCAAGACAGTTGCTAAATTACCAGTGAAACAGAGGCTGTATTATAGTTTGAGGATATTCTAGAAGCTATTCACACTGCCAGAACTGCCACCCTAACAAGCAACATACTCTGTAAACAGTCCTAAATGATTTACTCCTGCAACTGAAAGCCAGTGACTGCACCATCTTACTTCTTCTGGACGTTAGAGCTTGTGATACAGTAGAGCAGGCTGCTCCCCCTTTTCTGTGTAAAATATATTAATAGTACCTTTCAGGGCAGGGTGATGAGGACAGAACAATTTATATGTACAATCTGTTGTCTGACCATGTCAGAAATTAAGTTTTGGTTTGAAAAGGCCACATTCGAGATTCGAGGCTGATCTGAGGGCGAGTTGTCCACATGAAAACCAGAAACAGTAGCAGAAGGAGAGAGAAGTTCAGACCCTGACTGCTGTCTCGCCTCCTCGCAGCCTCGGTTTCAGAAAGTCACAAACAGTTTCCTGCAGCCGTCCGACCAGCCAACAAGCTGCTCTGATTACACATGGCAGAACCAAAAGCTAAAACTAGCTAGTATGCAGACGAGAGGCGTCAATCATCAGTGGCTCGCTCCTTCTATACCAGATAGCTGGTGTCGCAGTCTCACAACTTCTCATCAAAGCTTTAGGTTTGTTTTACATCAAAACACTGATACTTTGATTTCAAATCTATAGAAGGCACAGCTTGATTTAATTTTCTTTCACTGAGAGATTTTATATGAACCTGTTTTCATGAATAAAGACCTTCAGGGCTCGATCATAGACAATAAAGCTGTGCACCAGAGACTCACATCCTTTCATTGGATTGGATTATATACGTCTGAGTACAGCACATCACACCACAAATTTCCCTCCATGTCCTTAATGCTTATTGCCATGTTCCATGGGGTGACATGCACACACCCACAGTGAGATCACACATGCATGTACACACACATACACACACTGCACCTAGTCAAGGACAGTGCAGCATGCAGAGAGGAGCAGCAGCACCACCAGCCGGGTTCATTTTTTATACTAATGGAGTATAAAATACAGTCTGTTCTCATTAACCAAATGGGTTTTCTGCCTTGATGCAGCTGCTGTCCCTACGCCTGCGACCCTGTGGCCGCACTACATTACATTTATTTATTTATTGAACCTTTATTTTACCATGTTAAGCCACGCTGAGGTTTAACACCTCGTTTAAAGGGGATCCCTGGGCATGAGGTGAAAGTGTAGCCTTTCATAAACATAACGGTGACCACGCTTCAGTGGCTACAGGCTGGCTCTAACAAATTAACTTCATTACATAAATATGAAAAACAGACTTGTGGAACATTACAAGCATCAACACACTGACACTGCCGACTGACTGCGGCTGTAGGTCCACACTTCTTTGGCTTGTAGCGCCTTAAAATTAAGACACATCTACTAGTGGCCCTTCACGGCAAGACGACTCTTTCCTTCTCTGGTTGGTTTGATTTTAAAGTCCTTAAGAAGAGACAGTATCACATTTAACAAGAAAGAAGAAAAATCTGTCTAAAATCAAAACAAAAACAATGAATTGCTTTTGTTTGTGTTAATTAAATTCACTTTGATGCATTAAAAACAACAACAATCGCTGAATTTCACAATGGATAATGTTCATTCTAATAAATCATTAATTTAGACATTTTATCTTGAAAATATTTTAAAAATTGTCTATTTAGTCATCTTTAAAAGCAAATAATGTGTGTGACCCTATAATGAAGATTCATATAGACACCATCCTCCTACTGAAGCACATCTTTCTCTGTGGCAGCTGATGAAAAGAAGCTTGTTTCTGAGGCACAAACGTGTCCATACTTCTACAAGCCTCTACAAAAAAGAATCTCCCCAGGGATCAATATGCAATCTTTGAACATTTTTAGGGGCTTTGCATTCTGCATTTCAAGAGCGATTATCAAAGGGGAGGGGAAGGGAAGAGTACATGAGGTGAGAGACAGAGAAACTGTGAGGGAATCAGACCGAGGTGGGGGCGCCTGCAGAGATATGGATTGAGCCGCGATCACTGTAGCGGGGAGATATCGATGGAGCCCTCAGTCTCCTCCCATAGGTAAAAGTCATTTGGGGGTCCTCGCAGAAACACCAGATCAATAGGCCCTCCACAAGTTCACCCTAATACCCACTTGACTGGGATTGGACAGTGACTATAAATCTGCCTGAGCCACTGATATGTCGCCTCTTAAATCTCCAGGCCCGATAAGAGCTCGGCCAGTTAGTAGGCATCCTCACTCAAACTGTCAACAAACACGCCGCCAATGCCGCAACAGTCTTCGATGGTGGAGACAAGAGACACCGCAAACAGGTGATTTTTTTTCCATCTGCTGATTATAAACTGTTAGGACATTTTCTAAGAATCCAGAGCTTGTTTTCTCTGATACAGATAAGCAGTAAATCCTCACAACTAAGAAGTTGAAAGCTGAATATCTTGTCTTTCGGTTTAAAATCTGTGAAATAAAACAATTATCTAAACAGTTGCTGACTGATTTTTCTCATTTGACTAATTCTTGCAGCTCCACTGTAAAGTGCTTGACAGTCAGGTGTGATGGTATGACTACCAGTGGTGGAAAGTAACTAAGTACATTTACTCAGGTACTAAAGTACTTAAGTACAATTTTGAGATATCTCTACATTATTTGAGTATTTAGACAATAGTGTGTCAATAATTATGTTCCAATGATTTAATATATATTAATGTGAAATATGCTATTCTGCATAACAAGTACTTTTACTTTGGGTACTTAAAGTACACTCTGATGCCAATTCTCTTGTACTTCTACCTAAGTAACTCTTTGAATGCAGGACTTTTAATTAAGTAAAGAATGAGTACTTCTTCCGCCGCTGATGGCTACAGATTTGACTGAACTGCATCAAATACCGGTCAAAAGGGGCAAAAGGACTCTAATACAAGCTGACAAGCACACAGTCCTGAGGAGGTTTAGAATAGCTAATGTGTTAGCAAACAACAGCAGACTTTAGCAACAGAGAGCTTTAGCAGTTTAGACTCGCTGCTGAAAGACATGCACTTTAATGGAAGCCAGAGTTTTAAAGATTGGAGAAAGGCTGAGAAGAAGGAACACCAAAGGCTTCTGAACTAAGATTCAAACAGGAAATATAGAGGCTCTGAAGAAGGTTTCTCAGAATTAACACCACCCGTAAACAATGACACACAAAATCACACTGTCAACGTTCGGGGCCCTTGTCATGTCTGACCTTCTCCCCTGTGCACTGCAAGAAAGTGGCAACCCCAGTTTAACACAGTGCTCCTCTCCATAACGCTATCTGCTTACTCTCTGAAGGGGTTTGTTTCAGGTCAGCTGGCAAGAGACCGGCGCACACGTGAATTGCACAGACAAAGCATCAGCATGAACTGTGTGCTCCTCTGTGTCCTAATGGCAGCTTTCTGTCGGAGGGCGGATTGAATTAGGCTCGGTGCTGATTGCTCGGCGCATTGATTATTGCTGCCTGCTGCGCCTCAGTGCGCTGTGGCACTCACAGACCTGTGGCTCAATGAGACGGGACCAATATGAAGAGCTGACCACATTTAAGCAGATGCACTTCAGCTTGTAATGTAGCTCACACTTACACTAAGCTGTGTGCTAACCTGCCTGTAGGGAGCGGCCCCTAATGAAGCCAGTACTCATATTTTGACTGTCGCGTTCTCCTGAGTCATCAGGCTGCCTACAACAGCCAGGTCAACAATGCCTTTCTCCAACACAACATTAGACCTATATCTAATATACAACATAGCATCCACTTGTAGTTTATGCATATTAAAATGTGTAGTCTGACTGATTCTGGTGTTTTGAGACTGACACCAATAAAGATATTTGAAAGTTCCAAAATACTATATTTACAGTTTTTTTAATCCTAAAGTCAAACATAAACAACCATTATATATGTCCCTTGATTATCCTGAGTAACTGTGACCATGACATGTATTCAGCAGG